TGGCTGCGGTCAGATTGCCAGGCAGAGAGGCTCTCTGGTGCAGACAGAGGCCGCGAGCTCCTGTGTGTCCGTTACACAGGCCAACGGCAAACAGAGCAACCGCCCTTGAGGGAGGGGGCCGCTCGGCGTCGGGGAGAGCATGGTGTCTGTTCATTAAATCTCACAGCGGGGTCTGCAGAGGGCGGGCGCGTGCTGGCGTGGAGGACATTCCCGGAGCTTGGTCACGGTCACGGGGCTTGGCTGGGTGTCCAGCCTCAGCAGCCTCAACAGCTGGGCGCTGGCAGAGCTGAGCAAGTAAACAAATAAATAAATTTAATGACGGTTGGCCAGGGAGGAAGGCGGGGAGTGAGAGAGAGAGAGTAGGGGGTGGAGGTGGTCACCCAGGGGACCCTGAGAGCCTCCGCAGGGCTGTGGCAGGGGCTGGGGCTGGCAGCCCCATCGGGGTGGGCCTGCACCTTCCTGGAAGTCCCCCCGTCAAATGCAGCAGAGCCCACACAGTGGTCAGGGGTCCCCTCCATGCCCGGTGTCAGCCTGATCATTAGCGTGCATTTTAGGAGGGGGCCAGGGAGGGACACGGAGGGAGGTGCTGTCCAGAGCGTGGCTTCTGTCACCAGACCATGTGGGCAGTCCTGAGCTTGTAAAGCAGGAAGAAAGAACCTGGGAGACGGAGTTACAAGCAGAAACCCTGGACACTTCACCGTGACGTTGCTTTGGACAGCAGTTGAGTGCTTACTATGGGATGACCGAAACACGGTGTTAATTTCCTTGTTTTATTCTGAAAACAGTCCTTGGACATATTAGCCAGCTGTCACTCTGATCACTGTGTAGCAAACCTGCCCAGTGCTTGGGGACACGACAGTAAGCGTCATTTCTCATTCAGTATGTGGGGTGCTGGGGTCAGCTCTGCTTCAGGCAGGGGTAGCGGGGAGGCGAACTCCAGGTCTCATCTGGGGACCAGGCAAGGTCTGGCCTGGCATAATGGCAGGCCCTCAGTGGTTCAAGCCCCGTGGGCGTGCCTGGGCGCGCCGTGTGCCACCCCCACCCCATCGCCCCCTCCCTTGTCCCCAGGAAGGGACGGTGCAGGAGTGAACACCCACTGAGCTGAGTTCATATTCAGTCGTTCAGTCTAACATCGCATTTCACAGCTAACGAAAAAATGAGGTCAACAGGTTGACTT